CTTAGGTGATACACAGAGATGAAGAAATGCTTTCTACATAAGTTGTATCTGTTTATCTGCAGTACTCTCTCTTCTACATCAGTTCAAAGTACAGAATTTACACAGCTTCAGATGGCACAGGGCAGGGATCTGATGTCACACACTGCACAACATAGAGAGGGCAGCTGAGTGTAATCTGAGACCTGAGTAGAGGGAATAGACACACCTCCTCTACACAGTGTCATAGAGAATATGCACAGCAGAGGCTGTTAACCACCTGCTGTGTGCTGGAGGGAGTGGGGCTAGCTTTAGGCTTTTGACGTTTCTATTTCCATCTTCAAAAATTGCAAATTACAGTTAAAAAAAATTATTCAGCAAGTACTTTGTAAGTGGATAAGACCACTCTTTGTCCTCTGCTGTTGTGTCACCCCAAAACAATTACAATTTCATAGTAATAATGACTAATCATCTAAACTGTCATCCATTAGCTGTCTTTCTCATATGGGAAGCTGAATCAGAATTGTTTTCTACTCAGTTTGGCCATGGTTTCCATTTATGCCTATACCTCTACTGTAATTGTACATCCTTTCTAATGGGAAAGGAGGAAAGCTGTTGTTTAAACTGTATGTCCAACTAAAACCTTTTCCTTACTTTCTGGATAGAGTATAGAAGGGTTTGAACCCCTGTCAAGTATTTGCCCTCACAGACGGTTCTGATGATAATGTTTTCTCAGGTGGGAAGTGAGGGAAACTCTCCAGAGGAAACACAGACAAAATAAAAAAACATATTCTTTAGTAGAGTAGGTCATATACAGTATTTATTTCTGTATTTATCCCTGTTGCAGATTTAACAGGGCTGCTATTAGAAACCACATAGCCCCACTCCATACAGCCAACCCGACAGCCCCTTCCCCTCACAAAATAACAGTTTTCTATGCTTCAGTTATGAATACACACAGTGAATGATCATTAAAGATCACTTATTGTGTTCATTCAGGAAAGGAAGGGGCTGGTAAATGGGATTTACCGGACACTTCCCCCACTCTCCGTCCTAAGAATCCTGCAGCTCATTTTGAAACTTGGAGATTAGCTTAGTGCATAATGCCTCCAAACTAGTGTTGAAATCTGCCTCAGTGAGGGGAGGGTACTCACAGTTTCTTATGGATTCCATACCGAGTGATGGAGGCTCTGGAGAGGAGGAGCATTTCCCTGGGTCTCCCTTCTCTAGGTTGCACCTTCTCACCTAGTGATTTTGTGTTTTCCCTTATAGGTTGTTGGGGCTCTCGCTTTCCCGTCAGTCAAAGTTACCAGCTCTCCCTGACTGTTGAGTTGCTGCTCCCCTTTTGTAGCCCTGGCTTCTTCCAGCTTTCTCCTGTGCTGTTGCACAGTCCTCTCTCCCCTTGCAGCCTGCTTTCACTTTGCATGCACCACTCTTTGGTGCCTTAATGAGTTCTGCCTAGTTTCCTGCCTCCCCACAGACTGCCGGTAGATTCCTTCCCCGCTGGTGAGCTCCTTCTTTGGCTCTTGGACGCTTCTCACGTGAGTCCCGAGCAAGGCCAATCCAGTCGCTGATGAGGCTAATTAAATACATTCTTTCTCCCTTCTCTCAATGGCCTGTCAACCAAATGGCCAGAGAGAAAGAATATCCGTGGTATAGCCAGAAAAATGATAGTGCCCAGACTGTGTCAGGGGGCTGCCTATCAGGGCTACTTTTATAACAGCAATAGTCTTTACAACAGCAAAATTTATACATTAAGCATGATTGTACTTTTTTATTTTTTAGACAGCCTTGTGCTTATTTCAAGGCACCAGTATAGAGGGAGTATATTTCCCTTAGCATTTTTAACACACACTTTTTTGTTTATGCTGTGTACATTCTGTGCAGTACACATTCCAAAAGGTTACTAACAAGCTGCCCTTTGCTTGCCCATGTTTGGCTACAAATTGTAGACCTCTTCTTTACAGCACTAAGGACCATCTGTAGTACCTGATTTCAGGCTTTTCAGGATGTTTGGAGACCTTGGCTCTGGTTAGCCAAGAGGAAACCTTAGAACTGGTAATGAACACTTCACAATATAAATTAGTTCACCTTGAATGGGTATAAACATAACATGGAGAAACAAAAGCTCCATGAACATACAGTACATAATAACTCTTACGTTTTAATTCCATTTAACCTAGAGCTGCTTGAATTTTAATGGGCAGTCCTATATAACACAAGTGGATTACTTTTATTATCTCATCATCGTGTGCTTTAAATATAAGTCTGCTACCGGCTGCTGCTTAATACACTTATCCTTATTTATGTGACCCCTAACATTACTTTAACATACATAATTGCCGGCATTCAATGCAATAAAGGCTTCATTCTCACTGGTGCACTGGAATGAGCTTTGCATCATTACTTTGAAGTACTATATGTCACAGCATTCTGTAAATAAGAATACATTTGCCAAATGCATTCAACAGAACATTTCAGTTGTAATTTCAGATTATACAGACTATTTGCAGTATAGTTCTGTGAGGGGTCACTGGTGCTTGGGCAACAACAAGACTTGACCTACCACCCCCTGAGCAGCCCCTTGTTCATCCCTCCATAATCTTGTTTTACTAACTCTTCTCTTTCTGCACTATCCTGACTTGCTGCCTGAACAAAAGTATCCATCCTCCCTTTCTGTACATAAATGAGTACACTTATAAAGTACTAGATATTAGGAGATATGTGAGCAGAAAAAAGCACCATTGCCAAGGAGATATAGCTGCAAATTGTCGAACCTCAGGTATTTGTGGCACAAAAACCCTAGATGTCCATGGGAACTAGTCCAAAGAAACCACTAAATACCAGGTTGTATTCAGCATATTAGCCACAGGGTGGTAAGAATGGAAGGTACTCTTTCCCACTAATGGAGGCATAAATCACTCCTCGATTTCAAGACCACAGAACAGAGGAAAGAGCCAACAGGACTTTTCCCCATAATATGTAGAAAAATTAGGAATCGCATGGTACAGTGAAATAATGTTGCTGGGTGTATTTTTTAATATATTATGTAGTAGAAGATTTACCTGGTGTGTCATACATGGAGCACTTAATGTGCTGCTACAACGTATGATTTATGTGATTCACATATAAAAATCCAAACTGTTTTACTAATTTCTCTCTCTGACAAATAGGTGACCGCTTGGGAAATAGACTCTGCTTTTGACAGTGTATAAGATGTATGTCTGGGTCATTTTCACAGAATATTAATCATTTTATTCAGCTTTTGGATGTCCACCCTTATGTTTGTAGGTTTGTTGCCTTCTGTGTCATGTATGTGTGTTTATTGTATTAATTGTGACGTTACCCTTTTTGATTTCTTGTCGTTTTATTTGTTTTGTACTTGAAATTAATAAAAAGATATTAAACAATCATTTTTTTCAGCTGATAACTTACTAAATCCTTTATATAGTATATAGTATCCTTTTATAGTATACGTGTAGAGAACCTTACTTTTTAAGACCTCAGCCATGTTTTGACCATGCCATTCAATCATTGTGGTGTTGTGGCACTATGCATTTTTCCTCTAGAGCAAAGCTTCTCTTAATATTTTTTTTCTTATAACAATAGATCTTGTCTTGTAATAGTTTTCCTAACATTTCTTAAAGGGATAGTTCACCTTCACCAAAGAACTGCCTCTGCAGGTAAGGAGTGTCTGTGAATAAAAACAAACTGTGTGTCTCTGACTAAACTTGAAAAATGCTCTGGCTATAGGTGTAGGCCATTTACGTGTCTCATGAAGCCTGACTGGGATACTGCCTGGACATTGCTGGGGCATTGCTAAGTGAGACCTAGTCATTACTGCTCACCCCCACCATCAAAGGAGTGAGCTTTTTCTCTGATCCAGACCCCCTCACATGCTCTATCTTTCCCCTGATACAGTAGCTCTGAGCTCAGCATCTGGGAGCTCACTCCTGTGATGGCGTGGTTAGCAATGTCCTACGAGTATTCCATTCAGGCTTCCTGAGGTACACAAAAGGCTTACACCTATAGCAAGGATATTATTCAATTGTAGTCAGAGCTGCCCAGTTTGTTTTAAACTTCATATACCCCTTGTCTGCATAGGCAGTTTTTTTGGTAAAGGTAAACTAACCCTTTAAAGTAAATGTTGAAAAGACTACAAAGGATCCTGATTGCCATCAAATGTCGCTCATTGCTAAAGCAAAACCAATACAATAGTATTACAAGCTGCTGATCCTTTCTTTGCAGCTACTTCCTGTCTACATGCATATACCTCAGCAATTGCTGCATGACATTTTCAGAGTAGGTTTCCAGATGGTGACAACAGTGGACCATGGCTGCATAAAGTACGGTGAAATGGTCACTTGTAGTATCCAATGGAATCCAGTGCAACAGCGTGTAAACAATATGGTAGTCCTGGTAGGATCACCAGGTAGTATTTAAAAATAGTTAAAAAATATTAGTAAAATAATAAATAAATATATATATATATATATATATACACTATATTGCCAAAAGTATTGTGACTCCCCTCCAAATCATTGAATTCAGATCCTCCATGGCCGCAGGTATATAAAATCAAGCACCAAGGCATGCAGATTACTTCTACAAACTTTTCTTTAACCGCCTCCCATCCGCCATATAACGAAGTGATGGGCGCAAGGTGGTTCTCTCGTTCTGGGAGGACATCATATGAGGTCTTCCCACTCTAACCGCGCGTGCGCAGCTCCGGGAGCGCACAGCGTAGCGATCGGCGGTGCGCTGTGTCCCTCGGACACAGCGGATCACCGATCAATGGAAAGAGGCAAAGATGTCGGCTAGGTCATGTGATCAGCTGTGTCCAATCACAGCTGATTGCATGTAAAGAAAGAAAGGACGGTTATCGGCATTTCTCTCCTCACAAGCTGTCACGCTAACAGCTCGAGAGGAGAGCCGGTAATCGGCATTCCACAGAGAGGACTTGTACACTGATCATCAGGGCACTGATGATCAGTGTGCCCTGATGATCAGTGTAGCCCAGGCAGTGCCACCTGTCAGTGCTCATCAATGCCAGCTGTCAGTGCTCATCAATGCCACCTGCCAGTGCCCATCAGTGCCTCATCAATGCCACATATCAGTGCCTACCACTGCACATCAATGCCACATATCAGTTCCCATCTGAGCTGCCTTTCAGTGTCACCTATCAGTGCCAGTCAGAGCCACCTATCAATGCCAGTCAGTGCCACCTAGCAGTGCTGCCAATCAGTGCCGCCTATCAGTGCCAATTGGCACTGCCTATCAGTGCCAGTCAGTACCGCCTATCAGTGCGCATCAGTGCTGCCTATCAGTGCCCGTCAGTGCTGTCTATCAGTGCCGCCTAACAGTGCCAGTCAGTGCTGCCTATCAGTGCCAGTCAGTGCCGCATATCAGTGCCACCTATCAGTGCCACCTACCAGTGCCATATATGAGTGCTGCCTTTCAGTGCCCATCAGTGATGCCTGTCAATGCCCATCAGTGCCACCTACTAGTGCTTCCTCATCAGTGCCCAACAGTGCCACCTATCAGTGTCCATCAGTGCAGCCTATCAGTGCCCATCACTGATCACTTAGTGCACATCAGTGAAGGAGAAAAATCACTTATTTACAAAATTTTATAACAAAAACTAAGAAAAAACTTTTTTTTTTAAATTTTCAGTTGTTTTTGGTTTGTTTCGCAAAAAAATAAAAAACCGACAGGTGATTAAATACCACCAAAAGAAAGCTCTATGTGTCTCAAAAAAATTATACAAATTTCATATGGGTACAATGTTGCATGATTGCGCAATTGTCATTCAAAGTGCGGTAGCACTGAAAGCTGAAAACTGGCCTGGGCAGGAAGGGGGTATAAGTGCCCTGTAGGCAAGTGGTTAACCATTAGCTGCCCGGCCAATAGCCGTTTGGCAGCCGGAAAAATGCAGTAGATTTCCGGGTGGACGCCACATGGCGTACTCCCGGACATGCGCAGTTTGCGCGGTTGCAGAGCTGCGCAGCGACGTGATCTGTCACCGGCCGTGTACCTCGGACACGGCCGATGACAGATCTGAGTTCTGGCCCCCGTTGCCGGTACCATGTGACCTGCTGTGACCAATCACAGCAGGTCACATGACAGTTGTATACAATGGATGGCTTCATTCATGCCATCCGTTGTATGCTAGTGTCTAGCTGTGAATGGTCACAGCGATCACATGCACATGTCATGTGATTAGCTGTGGCCAAATCACAGCTAAGCACAAAAAACAAAACAAAAACCCTGAATGAATCGATGTCATTCAGGTAAATGCTTGCTTATAGCAAAGTAATTCTTTACTATAAGCAAATTGTGTAAAAAAAAAAAAAAAATACTGATCACTTCCCCAAAGTAGTACAATGTTACTATGGTAACATTGTACTACTTTGGTCATAGTGAAAAAAAAAATCTGAAAAAAAAGAAAAAAAATGTAATAGAAAATTAAAAATAATAAAAAAATAAAAATAAAAAATATATATATATTTTTTCATACTGTTACCAGTCAGTGTCCCTAATCACCGCCATGCCAGTTATATGATGATGCTGTACTGCACTGGTGACAGTATGTAAAAAAAAACAAATAGTTAAAATAATTTTTTTAATTTTTTTTAATTTTCTGAAAAATTATGACAAAAAAATACAACTTCAAAAAACTCACCATGCCTCTTATGAACTACGTCGGATTGTCTACTCTGCAAAAAGGGGTCATTTGGGGGATATCTGTACTGTTCTGACATTCTTGGACCTCAAGAAATTAGATTGACTGTCAGTACTTCAGGATTGATCAATTTTCAGATATATCCCATAGTTTGTGAACTCTATAACTTTCCTACAAACTAAAAAATACATCCTAATTTGGGTTATTTTCACCAAAGACATGTAGCAGAATACATCTTGGCCTAAATTTATGAAGAACAATTATTTATTTGTAAACTTTTACAACAGAAACAAAGAAAAACGTGTTTTTTTTTTCAAAATTTTCAGTATTTTTTTGTTAATTTAGCAAAAAATAAAAACCCCAGCGGTGATTAAATACCTCCAAAAGAAAACTCTAGTTGTGTGAAGAAAATGATACAATTTTAGTTTGGGTACAATGTTGTATGACTGCGCAATTGTCATTCAAAGTGTGAGAGCTCTGAAACCTGAAAAACGGCCTGGGTAGGAAGGGGGTAAAATGCCCGTTATTGAATTGGTTAAAGAATGGGTCGCTATCAGGAGCTCAGTGAATTCAAGTGTGGTACCGTGATAGGCTGCCACCTGTGCAATAAGTCCAATAAGTTGAAATTTCCTTGCTACTAAATATTCCACGGTCAGCAACTGGGAACAACAACGTATCACATGTTCTCTGGCATGACGAATCATGCTTCTCTGTCTGGCAATCCGATGGGCATGTCTGGGTTTGGTGGTTGCTATGAGAACGGTATTTGCCTGATTGCTTTATGCCAAGTGTAAAGTTTGGTGGAGGGGGGATTATGGTGTGGGGTTCTTTTTCAGGGGTTGGGCTTTGCCCTTTAGTTCCAGTGAAGGGAACTCTTAAGGAATCAGCATACCAAGACATTTTGGACAATTTCATGCTCCCAACTTTGTGGAAAAAGTTTGGAAATGGCCCCTCCTGTTCTAACATTTCTGTGCACCAGTACACAAAGCAAGGTCCATAAAGACATGGATGAGCGAGTTTGGGGTAGAGGAACTTGACTGGCCTGCACAGAGTCCTGACCTCAACCTGATAGAACACTTTTGGGATGAATTATAGCAGAGACTGCAAGCCAGGTGTTCTTGTCCAACATCAGTGCTTGACCTCACAAATGCTCTTCTGGAAGAATAGTCAAACATTCCTATAGACACACTCCTAAACCTTGTGGACAGCCTTCCCATGATTTATGAGTGTTGCACCACTCTCTCCTCTTCTATACAATAATATCAGTCTAAGTGGTTTGGCAATTGCAGCTCACCCGTGAATGGAAGACTAAGATTGTGCTCTGCCGTCCCTTTTACAGCAGTTGTTTTCTTATTCCAGTCAAGGCCTGGACTGAGCGAAGCTAAAAGGGAGGGCCAGCATGACTGGGGCGTGCAGACGAGGCCGAGCATGTCTTTTGGGTGGCAGTTTATGCAGGAGGTAAGGGGGTGGTTACTTACCTGATTGGAGTACACAACATTGAGGGGTGGTCTTGCCAGGATTAGGAGGGGGGTTGGGTCTTGTCGGAGGTCAGTCGTAGCTTGTGCCAGCACGGGGGTGGTTTCTCCCGCCCTCCCTCCCTGGAGCTGTTTCGTAATTTCTTTTGCTGTTTTGGTTATGGTTTGTTCTTTGTGTTTGTCCTGTTGTTGGTTTTGCTGGTTTGGTTTGGTTTGTTCTTTGTGTTTGTCCTGTGTTTTTTTTGTGTGAGTTTGTTGCGTTTGTTCCTTGTTCAGAACGGCTCTTTTGTGTCCCGAGGTGTTTGTCTGTTTGTTTTGTCATGGCAGCCGTCAGGGGTCGATGGGTCTTTGAAGGCGGTGTTGGAGTGACAATTTGGTGGATTATGGGTTGGGCCTATCATAGGTATGGGTGTCCCTTCCCAATTATAAGGTCATGTTGGTAATGTGGGAGTTCATTGGCTGTATCTGGGACTACGTAACTGTAGAATTGTCCCCGAGGCAGTGTAGTAGCGGCTGGGGGCCTTTTCATTGGGTGTCAGATACAGTCGAGTTTGTGATGTGAGTAACGGTGCCTTCAAAGACCTTAGACCCGGTTGGGATCATTACTGTCAATTATTATTTGAGTGTACTGTAAGAAGTGTTATGTTTGAGTTATGTTAAATAAATGGCTGCTATGGCCAGTTTTACACCAAAAAGAGAGTCACGCGGTCATTTAGGTGGGGAAGGTTTGAAGGGAGGTGGTGCTTTTTATGGATTAGGGGTAAGTATTAGCCTTGATATTCTGCAAGTCCAACAGTCATGGTCACATTCCATGTCCTTTTTTTCTCGGACAGAGGACCATGTTGGTGCACTTATGCTTATGTCTTCATATTTTTGTCCAATCTCTCTCTCTTCAATTCAATTCAATTCAATTCAAAAGAGCTTTATTGGCAGGACCAAATACCATTTTAGCATTGCCAAAGCAGTTTGTATAGGAAAAGGTGGAGGGGTTGAAGGAGTAATATAAAGAGGGATGGGGGAAGGGTCCATGTAAAGGTTTTTTTAAGTTCTCAGTTTTTCATGTCCCTCTATGTCTGTGGCATGCTGTCACACATTGTGCAGCTATTTTCACTATTGGCTCCTCTTCTCCCAGTAGAATTTGGAGTTTCCTCCTCCCTTCTATAGAAGTGAAGCCCAGGATGAGAGTGGAGAGTCTCTGGAAGTGAGTGTCCCTCACTGATGAGTACTTGGGGCACTGTGGCAGGAAATGGTCCTTGTCCTCCAGGACATCCTGGTCACATTGTTGGCACACTCTACTCACCCTGGGCTTATAGGTCTGTCTGTGCCGTCCTGATTTGATTTCCAGGCTGTGGGCACTCAGTCTGTATTGGCTCAAGGTCTGTCGATCTTTGGAGTCTTTTAGCACCTCCCGGTATGGGGCCAGTTTGTAGTCTCTCTGCAGTGATTGGTAAACAGTTAGTCTCTTTGAGTTTGCTATTTCATTTCTCCATTTCAAAACATGTTTTTTTTGAGAATCATTCATTATGTTTTTTATTTGAGATTTTGTCAGGACAGATTGTTGGGCGTTTGGGATTTTCTCTCTCTCTCTCTTTCTTTTTTAATTTTTAGCAAAAAGAAGCACAATACACACACATTACCACTTGTTAGGCAAACACTTATCTCCTTGATTACCCTGAGATGTTAAGCCCTTCCCAGCCAGTGTCATTAGTACAGTGACAATGTATTGTATCTTTACTGATCACTTCATTAGTGTCACGGGGGTTGTCAGTTCCCATCCAGTGTCAATTAGTGTCAGACTGCCCGCCGCACTACCACAGCCTTGCTGATCACCGCCATTACTAGTATATGAAAAAATTATAAAAATTCCAGTATATAAACCATAGTTTGTAAATGCTAGAACTTTCATGCAAACCAAACAATATACACTTATTGGGATATTTTTTTTTTACATGTAACAGTAATACTTTTTAGCCTATATTTATGAAGAGATTTTATTTTTTGACTTTTTTTGGATATGTTTTGTAGCAGAAAGTAAAAAATACATATTTTTTTACATCTTCAGTCTTTTATCATTTATATTGTAATAGATAGAAAATCCCAGTGGTGATCAAATACCACCAAAGAAAGCTCTATTTGTGTGAAAATCTTTTTATTAATTGCATTTAGATACAGCATTGTTTGACCACGCAATTACTAGTTAAATTAGAGCAGTGCTAAAAAAAATGGCCTGGTCATAATGGGGGTAAAACCTTCCAGAATTCAAGTGGTTAAAG